CACAACGCTCTCTCAGTGTGATGGACCAATCACAGTGCTCTATCGGTTTGATGGGCCAATCACAGTGCTATTTTGGTTTGATGGGCCAATCACAGTGCTCTCTCAGTTTGATGGAGCAATCACAGCGCTCTTTCGGTTGATGGGCCAATCACAGTGCTCTATTGGTTTGATGGGCCAATCACAGCGCTCTATTGGTTTCATGGGCCAATCACAGCGCTCTATCAGTTTGATGGGCCAATCACAGCGCTCTCTCTGTTTGATGGGCCAATCACAGTGCTCTCTCAGTGTGATGGGCCAGTCACAGTGCTCTATCCCTTTGATGGGCCAATCACAGCGCTCTCTCAGTTTGATGGGCCAATCACAGCACTCTCTCAGTGTGCCAGGCCAATCACAGTGCTCTATTGGTTTGATGGGCCAATCACAGTCCTCTTTCGGCTTGATGGGCCAATCACAGTGCTCTCTTAGTTTGAGGGGCCAATCATAGCTCTCTATTGGTTTGATGGGCGGGGTGATGTGATGGAGTGGAACAAGTACCATGGTGATTGCTCGTTTGAAACAGCGTTGGCATCAACTTTGAGGTATTTAAACTTGGGCTTTTCTTTAAGTCAAGAGCAGATAGAAGTACTTAAAATAATTTAGAAAAGGAAGCATTTGTGTCTTCTTTGACTGTGTATGATGGACTGCCCCAGTGGCTGACATTCACAGCAGTCACTATGTCACATTGTTTGTTATCCAATAGCATGTGGAGACAGTTTAAAGGACAACCATAGATTCCGCCCCACGACTGAGCTCTGTCTATGGGTCATGCCCAGACTATATATTCACATATAGGGAGCCTAAGTCTCTTCCCTCGTGGCTCATGTGTCCCCGGAACATAGAAAAATGAAGACAGTGATTTATTAGCTGGGGAAAATTTGTAGATAAAATGGCTACAAATCTGTCACATAACCGTCACTGCAGAATATCTTCACCCCCAGTGTAGCTACTTACCACATGGCCAGAGTGCTTTGGTTTTCCCACGTTTAATGCTCCTGTTGTCCTGGAAGAAAGATTCGTAGCTCACTAAGCTGATCTTCTCTTCTCCATGTTTGGTTTGACCACGTCAATTCGATGAGATGAATTTTTGTAGTTCTATGCATATTTTCTCACAAAACCTAAAATAAATTTTGCCCCTGTTCAAAAACTTTTGACACCACTTTCTTGGTATCAAAAACATCCCAATTAGGATTAGAAAATAATGTTTACAGCCCCGCTGACTAGCATAGATTTTTTTCTTATTTCTGGGGACCCGTGGTCCGGAAGTAGATGGGTGTGACTTAGGCTCCTTATATAGGATGGTTTGACACAAATTCTTTGAAATTATTACTTACCAACTTTTATTTCCTTATCTTAGAGTAATGGCATTTGAGAAACTAACCTGTATACACTCTGATTTTCATTCACAATGATAATATAACTTGAAGTGCAAATATTAAAGATGTAAAGTGACAGTGTGTAGTTTCCCTCCATAGCATTAGGGGGCAGTACACCTAAATCACTTTTTGTGTTCAAATGAGCCTTTACCAACAGATGACCATTAGGGTAAAAAATCCTTGGGAGTGCAACTTCCAGCAAAATAACAAGAACATCAGATTCCCTTTCATTACTGGCAATGAGTGAAGAGGTAAATGTGTAAAGCAAGAATGCTTTTAATGGTGAAAGTTTTGTCACCATTTGTTACAAATTGGTGAATGCATTTTGTCCTCACAGACTTCCGTAGATGGAACATGGCATCCAATATGGCAGGGATTCCCAAAGTGTGGTGCGCGCTCCCCCGGGGGTGCGCGAGCTGCCGCTAGGGGGTGCGCGAGGTGAAAAGTGTAATGGCTGCGGAGCTCAGAGAAGTCTGTTATATGTCACCATTAGCGTAGCCAGAAACTCATTTCTGGGTGGGCCTAAGAAAAAGTAAGTGGGCACAATAAATTTAATTGAAAACAAGTATATTTTTGCGCGTGTCCTCCACATGTGCCCTAGCTTCATAATAACAATGCGCCGAGCTTCAGCACTCTGGCCTGCGCACGCCGATATGTTCCGTATTTGATCATTTTTAACGGTTTTTGAGAAATCTGAAGGTGGTGAGTCATTCTGGCAGATTGTAATTAACACCCTGTCTCATGCAGGTGTTCTGACATTGTAAACCTCCCACACAGAACATTGTGGATGTAACAAAATAAATCAAGAAATGATTCCCATTCAGGCTATTAAAAGCGCGCTGAAGATCTGAAGTTCAGAGTGCGTCTGTCAGAGGTCAGACGCGTTCCAGCGGAACCACGGCTCACGGGTGCACAAGTGAGCACATCTGGGCTGGGCAGAAGTTTAAATAGCGCCAATAACGAGACGCGGTGACTTAAACGCTGCAAGTTGTGAAGCGCGTTCCATCCGCGAGCCGCATCACCAAGCGGAAAGTGAATGCGTCAAGCATAAACCAAGCTTCATGGAGCTGTGCCGCGCGCACGCACGCACGCGCGCACGCACGCACACACACACACACACACACACACACACACACATATATATATATATATATATATATATATATATATATATATATATATATATATATATATATATATATATATATAGCCATGCCCTGATGTGGGGGCTGGGGGGTGCGTCGACATGGTCGGGACATAGAAGGGGGTGCACGGCTAAATAAGTTTGGGAACCACTGCAATATGGCGTCGCCCAGAGACTTAGACCCGCTCCCATGTATTTTAGAACAGATTTTCATGGTTACATGTTATGAAACTGCCAACAACTGGGTTATTTTACAACAACTGGGTATCTTTTAAGTAATTTACTACAACATTTCGATGGATATTTCCAGAGATTAATGGTAACAACTACACATTGTCCCTTTAAGGTCAGCATCGAACTGAAAATGAATGAAAAAAATTAACAAGAATGAACATTTGATTATTTTCTCAGTCATTTATTAGGTACGACACTTTAATAGTTTAAAGATGTTTTTTGGGATAAATATAACCAAATCCTCAGCATTCATCGTATACAGGTGCTGGCCAGTAAATTAGAATATCATCAAAAGGTTGAAAATATTTCAGTAATTCCATTCAAAACGTGAAACTTGTACATTATATTCATGCAATGCACACAGACCAATGTATTTCCAATGTTCATTACATTTAAATTTGATATTCATAAGTGACAACTAATGAAAACTCCAAATTTGGTATCTCAAAAAATTAGAATATTCTGAAAAGGCTGAATATAGAAGACACCTGCTGCCACTCTAATCAGCTGATTTACTCAAAACACCTGCAAAGGCCTTTAAAAGGTCCCTCAGTCTTGTTTTGAAGGCACCACAATCATGGGGAAGACTTCTGACTTAACAGCTGTCCAAAAGACAATCATTGACACCTTGCACAAGGAGGGCAAGACACAAAAGGTGATTGCTAAAGAAGCTGGCTGTTCGCAGAGCTCTGTGTCCAAGCACATTAACAGACAGGCGAAGGGACGGAAAAAATGTGGTAGAAAAAAGTGTACAAGCTCTAGGGATAACCGCACCCTGCAGAGAATTGTGACGACAAACCCATTCAAAAATGTGGGGGAGATCCACAAAGAGTGGACTGCAGCTGGAGTCAGCGCTTCAAGAACCACCACGAGGAGACTCATGAAAGACATGGGATTCAGGTGTCGCATTCCGTGTGTCAAGCCACTCTTGAACAAGAAACAGCGCAAGAAGCGTCTCGCCTGGGCCAAGGACAAAAAGGACTGGACTGATGCTGAGTGGTCCAAAGTTATGTTTTCTGATGAAAGCAAGTTCTGCATTTCCTTTGGAAATCAAGGACCCAGAGTCTGGAGGAAGAGCGGAGAAGCACAGAATCCACGTTGCATGAGGTCCAGTGTAAAGTTTCCACCGTCAGTGATGGTGTGGGGTGCCATGTCATCTGCCGGTGTTGGCCCACTCTGTTTCCTGAGGTCCAGGGTCAATGCAGCCGTCTACCAGGAAGTTTTAGAGCACTTCATGCTTCCTGCTGCTGACCAACTTTATGGGGATGCAGACTTCACCTTTCAACAGGACTTGGCACCTGCACACAGTGCCAAAACCACCAGCACCTGGTTCAAGGACCATGGTATCCCTGTCCTTGATTGGCCAGCAAACTCGCCTGACCTTAACCCCATAGAAAATCTATGGGGTATTGTGAAGCGGAGGATGCAATACGCTAGACCCAACAATGCAGAGGAGCTGAAGACGACTATCAGAGCAACCTGGGCTCTCATAACACCTGAGCAGTGCCACAGACTGATCGAGTCCATGCCACGCCGCATTACTGCAGTTATTGAGGCAAAAGGAGCCCCGACTAAGTATTGAGTGCTATACATGCACATTCTTTTCATGTTCATTCTTTTCAGTTGGCCAACATTAGAGAAACAAACATTTTTTCATTGGCCTTTAGAATATTCTAATTTTCTGAGATACCAGATTTGATGTTTTCATTGGTTGTCACCTATAAATATCAAATTTAAATGTAATGAACATTGGAAATACATTGGTCTGTGTGCATTGCATGAATATAATGTACAAGTTTCACGTTTTGAATGGAATTACTGAAATATTTTCAACCTTTTGATGATATTCTAATTTACTGGCCAGCACCTGTAATACCATACAGTCTTTAAATCTTTTATATCACCTAAAAGATATTGAAGCCTGTCCTCCCAAAACACATTTTTATTAGAGACGATAAAATTTTGAAGACTGGACTAAATATAAAACAGAAATATGTTTATTTATTTATTTGTATTTAGTATTGAACACCAGCATCTTTATTGATCGGAGATGCGAGTCAGCTGTTTCCACTGATGACCGCTAGATGGCGGTAAAACACCGGCACCGCGCCGCGCTGCTCAGACGCTCCGTGATGAATCCGGGCTTCTTTCTCATCCTTTGGACTCCTCCGATTTCATTACTGAAACTGCACAATGCTGCCACCAAAGCCCAACTGTACTCTCAGTGTGAATGGAGGACTGTAAGCACCAGAAAAACCCACACTTCCACAACACAGAAACTATGCGAGGCGACTCCCCGGTGCGGTGTCCGGATACCGTGGCGCTCAGGAGGCGGATGGGAAGTTGCGAGTCAGACGCAGAGGGCGAGCAACTTTTATAGACTTTCGAGTCCGCTGTCTGCAAGTGAAGCCCAGTTCAGAGTCTTCGGACTCCGGGATTGCGCGCGTGGACAGGGTTGATGGTACACCTCCGTGTTATTTGGGGAGTCTTGAAGGAAATCCCTGAAGAACACGTTGCTGCTGCTTGTGATTGGCAATGGAGCTTAAATGAAAGGGACGTTTATCTGGATTAACTGAGAGAAAAACGACAGGTAGGTGATCAGTACAGCTCTTTTCTCATCAGACTTTCATGTGCATCTTAATCTGCAAAATGACTGAATTCTCATGTTTCTAAAAACCGCAAGCGTTTTCATGCTGGCTGATTGATAAATCTACTGATTTTAGCTGAGATACCATCAAAAAGCTACTGGTGGTTAGAGGTGGTGCAGGTGCAGCTGCAGCAGGATGCTCCAACTTTAGATGGTCTGGATGATTCATTTAGTGCAGCAACATTTTAAAAAAACCTGTTCATATGCAGTGGCGGAGCTAGAAAATGTGATGTTGGGGCACAATTAATTTCTCTCTCTTTCATCTGTATAAAACTGTTCATTGCTCATGGCAATTTACCTTTAACATGGTTGGTTAAATAAGAACCAGCTTTCTACTGATAACTTGATAACAGGAAAATTGAAGAAGCAGCAGGATCATTTCCTCACCGGAAAATTTGTGAGTGAGTAATAAGTCTGTCAGACAGCAGCTGGACTGCAGGTCCAGAGTCTATCTGTCCTTTAAAAATGTGATTAAACCAATTTCTTTATTCACTTAAAACACACACATCTAATGTATATTCTTTCAATATAAATGCTATTTTATCCTCTTCAAAGTGGTGCTGAATGTTTTATTGTGTCCCCAAAACTAATTTATAGCTCAAAAATACAGAAGTAAAGTTGTCATAAAAGGATATTTCCAAATTTGACACTAGGAGTATTGAGTGCGCAGGGAGCCTAAGTCTCCTCTCTTTCCGGTCGGCTCATGGATCCCCGAAAAAGGAAAAAATGAATGCAAGTGAATGGAGCAAAAAGAGATGAATAACATATATGTTGTATTATGAAAAGTTTTATGTGTGTTTCGACCAAACCAGTCATGTTGAGATTCATCAGCTTGTAAAAATTTGTCTTTCGTTTGATTACAAATCAAATGTCAGTGCGTCGCATATATATGACATCACCACAGAATCTCCTCTCCCCTAACGTAGCTGCTACTTACTACATGGTTGACTTTATGATGGATTTTTCCCCCTGAAGGAAGGATTTGAAGTTGGCTAAACTTAAGCCATTTTTCGTCTGTTTTTCTACGTGTCGGGTTTGATGACATTAATTTGGTAATTCACATTTGTAGTCTTGGACATATCTTCACACAAAACCTAAAATAAGTTTTGCCCCTGTTCGAAAATAGGCATGTTCTTGGCATCAGGATATGTCAGGGAAATCTATGGCACTTAACAAATGGATTAGAAAAAAGCGTTTATAGCCCCGGTGACTTGCATTCATTTATTCGTTCTAGGATCCTGATGGGCGTGGCTTAGGCTCCTAACATGACGTGAGAAACAATAACCCCTCCCAAAACCCTGAACGGGACAGAGCTGCTTTAAAGACTGGATGAAATTTAAAAAACGGTTGTGGTGAGAAAAAAGATTTAAAAAATGCAGAGTTGTGAAATAGAAATGCAATAATAAAATTGAATTTGATAGATCAGCAATATGTTATTTGATATATTTATTTATTTATAGATGGATGTGGTTTTTACCACCAACCACAGGGGCTTCAATAAAACTAAGCTGATCAAGTCTAAGTTTGTGGTGGTCTTCATTACTCCCAGCCACGTCTAAGCCTCTGTCCATTTGTTTTAAGTGAAGCTACAGGTTTGAGTTTTGGTGTATTTGGCTTTAAATTGGACGCCACCATCATGTAGCTTCATGTTTTTATTATTTCCAGTACTTCTGGAGGCATGCCCCCCCCCCCCCCCCCCCCCACACACACACACACACAAACACAGCAGAGGATGGAGATTTCCTCCTAAAATCCAACTTAAGAAGAAAAGCAACTTGGACTAAAAGTGACGCCTTCATGTCTTTACGAACACACTTTGCTTTTATTTTGTGTTGAATCCCAGGTGTTTGGTGTCAGCTGCTTAGCCCACAGATGCTGGATGTTTTTCATTATTCATCACTGTGAATATGGCTCCCGTTCCTCCCATCGTTCTCCTCTCACCACCGACCCCCCCAATCCTACCTCTAAGTATATTTCCTCGCTCACCCTGTGCTTTTATCTGCCCTTCATCTGCCTGACAAGTGTTGTGTGGTCAGCTGTTTTTTTCTTTTTCTCTCCCTCAATTAGTGCTATCATCGCATTTCATCCGGCGGAATACCGGGATAGTAATAACCTTACACTCCTGTTGCAGGGTGATACAATTCTGCTGTGATTAATTGAAGTCCCCTCAGAGAGTCCGAGGAGGCGCAGATCTTCCCTTTCACACTCGCTGACAGGCAACCTATTATATTGTTTTATAGATCGCCGTCAGTAGCCCTTGAAGCTGCCTGCGGTCCACTGTTGTTCTGGAGGGTTTTATTTCCTGGGTTATTGGTTGCTATTACTGACAGGCAGACCAAAGGCCACTGTGGGATTACTGGAGATGGGATCTCTGTGACAGGTCCGCTGTATTTGACAGTAACGGTTTGGACTTGAAAAAGCTTGCTCTGCAGAGCCTGGTGAATAAAAGGGGTAATTTGTTTTGGAGCCACAGACAAAAGTTGTGCTGCCGTGGCGTTGCGATACTGCACTGTGACATGCGTTTTCTCAAACAAGAGATGAAACAAAATGGTTGCTTTTGAGCCGTTTAGATGAGACGAGGCACTGCAGCTGTGCAGAAGAACCAACAAGAAGGGGTACGGCAGATTTCCTCCAATATACGAACCTGAAGTCAAAGTGCTGCCTGGGACTCGAAGAGAGTCCTTGGTATGCCTGAATTGATGTCTAGAAGAAGAGAACAGTGCAGAACATCATGATGAGAGACTTGTTTTAAGGAGCCACCTCAGGCAGAATTTATGTTCTCTGCCTGCTTCCGGCTCACTCTGTCAGATCAATAAAACTTAATATGAGCATCTTTACTGTGTTTGCCAGCTTGAAACAAACCTTTCAACTTTAGTTCTCTTTCTTAACATTCGTTTCAATGTCTCACCATAGTGAGACATCTCACTCATGTTACTCAGAGAACCGGGGTTACGATAGTAACCTAAAGTTTTTACATCATATGAAAGTCTGCATGGGTGCAGAGCTGTGCAATCAAAACTTGTATTTCAGATTCAATTTGGCTCCAAATCTTCACTAAATCCATAAAATCTACAATAATCAATTATTAAAGATTCAATATAAGCCTTTGAGAGCAAAAGTTGGCACAGTATATAATAAAATTTCACCAATGGCATTATTGAGATGTCATTTATCTTTCATACAAGTTATTTTCATTAGCCTGAATTCATAAATGCAAATTAAACGGTTCATTTGAAAGAAGCTCCGCCCACACTCGCTCCAAAAATAACCGCACCTACAATAGCATCATAGACCAGCCTGCTGCTGTTTTGGCTATGGTAGTCCAGTGGTTAAAGTGACCAGTCTGGCACTCTGACCACTGCACTACCAAGCCTACTGACCTATCACCTAAGCAATCCTGTGCTGGCCAGGGGAGAACAGTTTCAGACCAAACACTAGCTTCAAGATTTTCACAGTAAAACTCAAAATTTGCTGCTGAAACAGGAAAATGCATGAATGCAGCCAAACGGGTTTAGTATTTTTGTGACGAGGAAACAACATGACATGGGAAAACGTTTTGCAATCATGATTTTATTGTGTCTTGTCTTGCTTGAATGATGTGCACTTCTTCTGATTCTGACAGCTAAACTTGTGTGATTCTTGTGGTTGTGTTCATTAAGATGGCAGAACGAGGGCAACACATACCGGTGGCCCGTGACAAAATGGTGACTCTATTACTTTTTATTATGAAACCCTCATTATCTGTAGGCTGGTGTCCAGTGACATTTTCGAGAATATATAGTTTTATTTCAAAGCATGGACAATAAAACAAAAGGCATTTTTCTCCATTCTTGGACATCTGGCCTTCCTTAACAGCAAATCTCTTCCTTAATAGCATCTCTTTCTTTCTGTTTTCTAAAGTGAAGTTGAATTATTTGTTTTAAACTAACATCTGAGTATTTCTCTTACATGTTTTTTTTTATCTTAAAAAAGCCAAAAATTTGGGCATTTTTATGGCTTCATCATTGCTATAACAAATGTTATTTTGGTAGTTTATTCACCAGTAAAGAATGTAACCCTTCCACCTGCCGTGTAAACATTCTCCTTAACCCTCCCGCCGTCCTAATGGGTAACCCCGAGAAGAAAGTTTACCACTGAGCAGGATGGTTTATCCCTTGAGGATCCTGCTCAGTGGTCAACTTTCTTTTGCAGGATCACCCATTAGGACAGTGGGAGGGTTAAAAGGTGAACTCTGAATATGTTATAACCAACACATGGCTGCTGTAAGATCTTTGGGCCATCAAGACAACGCATAATGATGATCAAAGTTATTATCATCTAGTGGATGTAGGCAGTGTCCCTGATTCAGGGTGGCTTAATATTGCGGTGTGCGATATTATTGCAGCCCTTTTTTTAATTGCAGTACTATCTAAACATAATGTTTACACATTTAAAAAAGGTTAAAAATTGCCGTGCCTTCTTTAATAACACTTTACTGAATGCAGATCAAAGGGCAGTAACAACACAGATCGCAGTAACGTTTGTTTCTCCGACAGTCGGAGTCCGACTGAACTTAAAAACAACAAAATTCAGGAGGTTAAACTTTTAAATGCAAATTTGGCTGCAGCATCTAACAAATAAGAAACAAGTCCCCATTTTGTTTAGTTGTTTAAAATCAAGCATAAAAAATTACATGTACCGGGCGCGCGCGCGCCGGGGGCGGGCGCACTATCATTTCACTTTCACACACACGAATGACGGTGATTTATAGCTCAGTCACATCCTTGTTACCCACAAGGAAAACCAGCATGTTAACCATATACGGTTTGAGAGAGGATCTGAGAGGGGTGGCAACATTTCCAGCAACACTGAAAACCCTCTCGGATGGTGCGCTCGTTGCGCTAACGCACACGTACTTGCGTGCGACTCTGGCGAGCAAAGGGAATCTCTCCCGGTTGTTGCTC